CGAACGACGCGCAGGTGGGGCGAGGGAGAGAACGCGGTCGAGGTGGACGGACGGACGATAGGTTGGCAGTGTTATATCGGGGGGCGGCGCGGTTCATTTCGCGGTGATACGCGATAATTTACGCGGAAAATTATTCGCGAGGTCAAAACTGTTGTTACTAGGTAATCGTGTTGATCGTGCAAATATTTAAGTTGCGACATTGCGCCGCGCGCGTCACGCATCGCCGACGTATCGCGAATTAACCGGCGGAGCGCGAGACGACGCGCGCGCGAAAGTCGTTTCGCGAGAGGAGCCCGAATATAGAAATTGTCATCGGGTGTGCCTGATATTGCACGAGGTTCTAACTGGGTGAGTGCAAGGTAATCCTAATCATGTACTGATCAAAGTTGAGTAAGGGAGACCTCCGAAGGTTACAATGATTAGATTCATATTAAGGACCTTAGTGTGTCATATTCGTATATTATTTGATGAGGTTTTATTGATCGGGTCTTTTTCGGGATCTTATTCGCTCTATCTATCATGATTTGCGTTATCAGTTTCTAACACGGATCTTTTGTAACAAACTCACTGTGTAGTAGGTTCGATTAAAATAAAATTCATTTTTATAGGTATTCACCTTTATTACAAGTAGCTTGTTTGCTCCTATATATATTATTTACGTTATTAAAATTGAAGATCATTCAATTCTAGCAATATTTGTCCTTTGATTTATACTTTGTGGATATCTTCCACTAGTTTCGCACTCTCTGCTCCTTTTAAATCTAATCATAAGCTAATCATAATTCTCTCCGTTATCCGAAGACGCGACAGGTATTCAATAATATAACCTGAGGAGGACATTAGAAATAATTCCGATCCTGATCACCATATAGCGTTACATGATTCCCTAAGACTCGACAATATAACCTTAGATAGACCCGACAACTAATTAAAGTCAACCCGAGCTGGACTATGGGGTGAATTTGTTATCGCTTCTCGCGATTCGCCCGAGATCGAGACCGCTGCTTCTTCTCCCGCTCTTTGTCGCCGGTTCTTTCTTTTCTCTCACGGCAGCGTGTGCATCGCGGTTTTTCGCTTCGAGGGCATCGCACAGAAGCGTTGAAACTTCTCCGCGGGGCCAATTAAAAATAATTGAATGCAAAATCCGCTTTAATTCGCCAACTTTCAGACGGCTTATGATAGCAGCTTGTAATTATATTCCTCGCGAGCTACTACACGCGCGAGAGGCTCGCTCGCGCGCGCGCGTCCACGCGCACTCCGCGTCTAAAAGCGCGCTCTTTCTCTCGCGGTTTTAGCACCGTGCCTTTATATTTTTACGACAAGTATGCATCACTCGGCCATGACGGAGATACGGCGAAAGATACGGGTGTGTCGTGCTACGTGTCGAGCTTTTACGCCGCGACGGTGGGGACGGCAGCCGCGGTCGGGAAGAGGACGGCGGACGATAAAAGCGACTCTCCGGGAAAAAGCGCTCGTATCGCGATTTATTGTAATCACCACTAAAACACGGTATGCGCAACAATTTGCAGTGACGTTTAGCGATGCGGATTCAGTGCTCGTCGATCGTCGTCGTCGTTGCTGTCGTCGTTCGCGATACGAGGGAGGGGGCGCGAGACGAGAGAGAAGCGAGTGTATAAACGTTACGGTTACGTGCGCTCGTACGCGCCTCGAGTCCTCGTCGTTAATGCTTTACGCCTTTTGTGACGAACCGGAGAAAAAAAGAGAGATAGAGATAGCGAGAGAGAGAGAGAGAGACACCACCTCGACACCTTATCGATCACACCGGCGCGTCACGGCTCGTCGTTGTCCGTCGCTCATTTGCCGCGAGAACGCGTGCCCGGTACGCGTCAGCCCCGGCACGTAACGCAGAGAACGCGGGCGATAAAAATCCCGCACGGAATACCGCTTCGTGGAAGACGCATGCCCGTAAATGGGGTGCGTCACTTACGCGCCATTACCGGGGGCATTCCGCAACGACGTTGAGTTGCGACGGGTGCACGCAGCTCGCGCTTTACGAAAATTGGGTCTCCGTGAATTTAATTGAACGCCGGCGCGAGACGCGATTTTCGCGTGTTTGCGAGACGGTGAAATTATAAGCGACGCGCGCGCGCGCACTCCTCGCACTCTGGCGCGCGTCCGCTTACGACCGTCGCATCCTGAGTCGAAATTCTGATGCCACTCTGACGCTTTTACGGGGATGTCATACTTGGAAACTTTACCGACGGAATACTGAGTTTTTCCGCAAAGTTTACGTCTTATTGGTTGCACGGAATTACGAATGCTTCTAGGTAGCGAAGGCACGTGCGAAAATCAACTGGAGCGTTATTCGATGTTTCAAAAACTGAAATCTCGACCTACTAAGTGAAGTAAAGATATTTACCTGAGAGAAAAATGTTGCAACCTGCGCATGTCGAGTGTATATTTGCTGCTATAAGGGAAATTTCGATGATCATTTCTGTACATTTATATTTGCACATAAAAGCCTAAAGTGATACGAAGAGTTTGCAGAGATAATTTTATATACCTTAGTTGGATTCTCCGGTAGGTATGGTAAAACAGAGTAGCGCGCATTCATCTTATTCACACTTATAACTATGCAATAACTATGCAATAACTATGCCCATTTTTAGCACCAAAGGAGAACAATAGAAAACTTTTGAACACTTAATGTAGAACACTAAATTAGATTTTCTGTCTACGACTAAAATCTCGATTCAGGTTAACTTCTACTATATATTGTAGAATTAAAGGATTAACAAAGAGCCGAGATTTCGACTCGGGGGGCGCGCATAAAAACACACCGCTCTTCGGCCTCATTCATCGTTCGTCGCAGTTGTCGCGCGTACGACGCCGTTAAGTGCACACGCCCAATAAAAAAGGCCTCGGCGCGGGCAAAAAGAAGGATGGATTTTCGATAATTTCGCCTCGGCGCCGACGAAATAGACGTCCCGCAGTCGACATTCGACTTCGCCCTCCCCTCTCGTAAATTCCAGTTTTCGACACGAATCTTCCTTCTCTCGCTCGCTCTCCAGCTCTCTCTCTCTCTCTCTTTTTTTCCTGTTTGTTTCACGCGCGAGGGCACACGCGTTATCACTTCGCCGGGCCGAAGAGCTCGCCTATCGACGTTTTTATTACCGTCGTCATCGTGCATGGCATGCACGCGTTCACGCGTGTCGCCGCTAATATTCCACTCGTGCGCGCGTACACGTCGTCGATTTTGATTTCTTCCCTCCCCCTCTCTCTCCCGCTTTTTTTTATGTATGTATTTTATATTCCACCGCGCGTGGTATCGACGGTTTTTCGCCTCGGCGGTCGGTCGACTCGCCGCTATTTTTTCCAGCCTCGACGAGAGTGCGTGCCCGCGCGTTTCCGAGGCGCTGTTGGAAAATTTGTACATTCTCTCACAACAAGATGAACGCGCTCATAATGCGACACAAAGAGATCCTTCCTCGCGCGCGCATCACACGGCGAGAGTGTTCACGCTAAGAGTATTAATTCCCTTTATGACGGCGCATTTCGTGCGACGCGCGCGTTAGCAGCCCTCCGCCCGGGAGAGCGCAAAAGGCGAGAGAAATACCCGATTCAACGGGGGAGATAATAAGCTCGCGACACTCCCGATGAGCATCGGCGCTCGCGCAGGAATGGGACAGAGTGAGCCAATTTTAGGTGCACTCCGCCGCCACCGCAGACTCGCGCCCGGCAAAGGCGAAAGAAACCGCGATGACTTTCCGCCGTCGCCGCCGAGACCTCAGAAAGAGAGAGACAGGCCGAAATCTCCTTCTCGGGGAATTTAATAAAAATCCGAGAGCTTCTCCGTGGAACCGAGAGCTCGCGCGGAGCGTCGCTCGCTGTTTTCCAGCCGGAGAACATTATGCGTTTCGGCTCCGTTGCCGCGCTCTACGTCGTTCTTCGATTTCGTCTCGCTTCGCTTTCCGTGCGCTCTCTCTCTCTCTCTCTCTTCGGCCGGCGCATTTCTCTCAGTTCGCCCCGCGATATTTCGCGGAGACGTTTCCAGCCGGGCCGAATAACTCCCGGACAAATTGCGTCGGCGAACGGCGCTTCGGTAGACCATTCCGCGGGAATGGAGGTATTTCTTATAAATATCGGCGTCGATACCGGCGCGCGCGGTTTGTTACTCCGCTCCGCGGGTCAATCGCGCGTGACGCGACGCGGGGCCTGGAAAAAGCCGCGCTCGCCCGAGAATCGCTCGAATCATCGCGCGAATTGTCAGTGGTTTCCTCTGTCTCACCGAGGAGGTAGCGAGAGTCGACGGACGAAAATCCCCGATACGCGCCGCTTCGACTTTAATAGCTGAAACTGCGCGGAAGTAAAGGGAACACGCGGCGGGAGGAGGAAGAAATCGCGCGGGGAGGGGGGGGGTGCGCATGGCTGCGGGATAAACGTATTCGAGGCCGGCTGGTTGGCTGGCTGGTCGGTGGGTTAAATACTTTGCCGGTTTCGGTATTCAGCTTCGTTTACCCGACAACGTGGATTTTCCCTTTGGTCCGGTTCGCGAATGCATTCCTTTTGCGCCGATTCGCCGTGGATAAAGCGCCGGCGGACCGACGGACGGATCGATCGTACCCTTTGGATTTATCCTCCTGAGAGACCGCAGGCGGTGTTATACTTTGTAACTACGGCGCAACAGAACGGGGGTGGAACTGCGGAGCTTGGCGAGTTTCGGCTATCCGCCGGCTCTTAAGCTCCGCGCGGGAAGGGTCTACTCTTGATATTTCGCGGATCGATCAATCGGCCGTGCGAGCGAACGAACGAGCGGGCGCACTTTGATCTCTTCCTACGCGCGCGTTATCGCCCACGCGAATCACCGCAAAAAGGTTGGGCGCGTGGGGGATCGCGTGGAGCGAATCGCGACGAGAGAAATGTCCGCTCTCGATCTGCGAAATAATCGCCGACCGAGGGAGACAGAGAGCGGGCTGCGAAGTGCGTGACTTCGGCTCGCTCGCTCACGGGGCTCACCGTGTAATTAATGGTGTACTCACGGTGCATTTCAATCGCCACCGACGTGGAAACGGGTTGACTGATATTGTTGTTGGACGCCTGACAGTCGAATACCGCGTGCAGATCCGCTCTCGACAGCTCGTGGACGACGAGGGTGTTCCTGCGCAGCGACGGGAACTCGCCCGGCTCGTCCTTGGAGTCCAGGAGCGTTTCGCCACGCCACCATCTCACCTTCGGCTCGGGTCGACCTGGAAAAGTCCAATGCGTGAGCGTTCGTTGATCGGACTCGGCCGATCCGAGTCGAAATTTTGAGGCAACTTTCACGCTCTCGAGGACAGCTTGCGATCTACCTAGACGACCTATGCGTAGCAATTTTGTGTTGAAAAAGGTCCTCTGAGATTTTTGTGTTACTTTAACAAGGTGAATGTATGTTAAAAAAATAATGTGTTAAGAAGATGAATATGTTAATTTAATATAATTAATTATTAATTTCGACGTTTGACGAATTGAACTTTTGACGTAAATTTCGTTACTATGCGGAATAAAAACTTAAGGTTGACGATGTTGAAGCTTGAAGTTGTCTCTTGAACTTCTAATTCTGCGGATCTAAGTTCAATGCTATCTTGAATAATCCAGTTTGATTACTAAAAACAGTGTAAAATGACAATTGAGACTATCATCAGAATCAAGGGATAAGGATAAATAATTCAAGGTGAACCCGTTTAGTTATCTTAGCTGCGCCTGTTTTAATAAAATGTTTAACGTAGAGCTAAGGTTTCAACTCGGCCGAGTCTAAACAAATCGGCAACGGCATTATTCGGACTGGCCCCGATAGAAGTATACGATCGCGTGGAAATTTCACGACGTTAAGTCGCAACCACTGTATATAGTACCTTTATTTTTCGCGCTCTGTCCGCGACCAGGTGCGATGAGAAATGGTAACAATAATATTCACGACAAACGCGCCTGATCGAACGCGGTCATCCTGTCGCGACGTACCGGAAAATTTCACTCCAATTAATTATGCACCGCGACGTTTCCGCCGCGGAAAATGCTACCGTGTAGTAATCGGTAACACTATCCATGCGCGGCGTATCGCGCGTTCTGCTATCTTACAGCTCTCCACAAGCGTTCGTCGGGGGTTCCACACACATACACACACACACACACACACACCTCGCAACCTCCCCTCCGCGTCGGTATATTGGCTACGCGGTACGCGTTAATTCATAATTCATAATGGTCGTTGCGTGCGGATAATCCCCCGAGGGTGAATATCCCGTTAAAGCTGGGAGAAGAGGAAATGGGAGAGGGGGGGGGGAGGAACGACTGCGCGGCGAGAGTCGAAGGGGGCGGTCTAGCAGGCTGGGACGACCTCATTATTTTTTACCGGACCTATTTTCGTCCAAGAGGGACAAGCGGAAAAGCGCGAAGGTAGCGGTCCGCAAGGGGGATGGGGGAGGGCCGGGGAGAGCGCGAATAGGTGGTGGATGCCGAGGGTTGTCGGAGGAGAAGGAGAGCGGGAAGGTAGGTTGTAGGCGGTGGTGGTGGTGAAGAGTGTATAACGCGCCGAGGGCGTATAGTCGCTCGCGTACACTGTCGCGGTCCCTCGGGTGGCGGCGTGCGAGGTAATAAAAATAAATTTATTATCGTTATTGCCTTCGCCTTGTGCCGACACAGCAGCGCGTGTACGCGAGAGAACGGAGTGAGCGAGCGAGCGAGCGCGCGGACGGATATTAAAATGTAATAGAATAAAGGGGAGCTAAACGAACGCGCGTACACATAGGTGTACACACGCGCGACACCCTCGATGGGAAGCAGCCTCGGCGCTTCGCCGAAGCGTTTAACGATCGTCGTGACGATACTTCTTCAATTCTGCCTTCGCACGGGAGGAGGGAGGGAAGAGAGGACAGGGGGAATGAGATACGCGCGGGAGATAAAGAGTATCGCGGCTGGTATCTGCACGATGTGGTGTCCTCTCTTCAAGCGGATCGTTAACGACTCTGTCGATTGATCGGCCGGGGGGGGGGNGGAGTGAAGTCACTACACAACGCGGGGGAGATCTCCATGTCGGAATTTCGACGCTACTTTGAGAGCTATGCTCTCAAGGGTAGTTTGCGTCTGCTTTGTCGGCTTATAGACTGGTACAAATTTACTCTGACGACACTGACACTTGGTAACTTATCTCTTGAACCTTTAATTCCGTATAGAAGGAAAGATGTACTACGTTCAAGTAAATATTTTTGTTAAGGAGTATTATAATAATTATTTTACATGGATTAAGTAAATATTCTTTGAATACACTGAAAAGGAAAAGTGCTACATTCAAGTAATATTTACTTGATCCAACTGCGATACTCCTTGGTGAGAATCTGTTTGAGTTCAGCACTTTTTTTCTTTGAGTTTACAGATTTAATTTTAATGTTACTTGGAACTCGATGGCCCCCTTTATGCGCCGCTGAAAATACGGCATTAATAGGCAATATCCGTAAAGATTTGATCTTTAATGATCCTTAACGTTTAGAGGTCCGGAAAGCCAATATATTGGCGCTACCCATGATCGATACTTAGTGTATGGTCAATCCATGATATAAGATACCTTTTTTACCACTTTACTAAGGCGGATATGCCCTCTCAAATCCCGGCCCTCTAAAGGTTAAAGATTTAACACGGGGCCAGGCCAGAATTTCGAGTCGCATTGAATTCGGGAGTGGCGAAGAAGAAATGTCGACCGAAGCGAAGGAGGGAGCGTCGAAACTCGGGGTCGTATGCAATTTTAATTAAGCGCTATCAACGAGGGTTGTGTAACATGAAGGCGCGATGGGAACGGATCCTGCGGATCCGTTTGACGCGCGACGTTTCGGAGCAAGTCTCACGGTGGATCCAAAGGAGTCCGTTCCCACCGGCCGTAGCAATTATTCTCCGGTTCTCTCTTTCGCGCGGCGTATATTTACGCGCGAGGACACCCTTGAAAGAGAATACTCCGACGTACTTGCATTCTTTCCCTGCCTGTCCCCGCCGTATTCCATCTCGCTCTTTTTCCTTCTCATTACGAAAAGTAGGACTCACCCCCGGAGACGAGGCACTGCAGTCTCATGTCACCGCCTTCTTCGTAAGGGCCGGCCACCGACGGGACGGGGTTCCCGTGTTCGTCGATAATGTTCGGCTTATGCGGCGGCACTGTAACAGAGCAAGGCAAAGAGGGAAATGAAACGTCGAGCTGCGACAAGCCCGGTAGGCTTCTCGCTGGACGCGCTTAGCATTAAGTAGAGCGAAGTAATTACCGCGAAGAGACGTGCCCGCGTCCGTCGAACTTTCGTAATATCGTCGCGAATGAGAGAAATTTTCTCCGTGTATAAATTTTCTTTATACATTGCAATTACCTATATATGTACATATGTATATACATACATACATGTGTATGCATACATGTGTATAAGCAATCAAGTATTTGCAAGACTCTTGTTCTTGTCAGTTTCCACTTGACGTGAAAACTTTATCCGATATCTGGAAAGCCATCTGGAAATAGCGGCGCGGAGTGTATGAACGGTATTTCCTCAGTGCGCTATATGTGTGCGCGAGTGGTCGAAGTTACAACTAATTATATTATTAATGAAAAATTCATAGCTTGTTTATTGACCCTCAAATTTTTCTTCATTTCCAATACTCGATTAATTTACCTCTATTATAACACGATGAAATTCGTTTCATTTAAATTCGTGTGAAAATCAAGTTTATAATTTAACACGCGAATCTTCACAGGCACAATGTAACGTAATTGAACGTGCGTTCGCGAGCACACGTCGTATACTTTGCCTTTACGATTGTTGCATCTTCCGTTGAGCGCCGGTAGACACACACAGACGCACCCGATCGTTTCGGCGTGGCTTCGAGCCTGACCGCGTCCGACACCGCTACGCGCTATTCGAGCACAGATAGCGAACTTTCCATGTAAGTCGGCGCGCCGTCCGGGGAGGAGTAGTAATTCACGATCCTCGTGCCACGAGCACCGCACGAACAGTCGAACAAGCGTGTACAGGTGTTACAGGTAACCGCCGGCAACTCGTACGGCTCGTCCGTAGACGAGTGTCGGCACGAAGGCGCGCGCGATCCGCGGCTCGCACGTCGCGCACGATGGTGGTAGTTTGGCCAGAAGCCGGGGTCAGAGGTCGAAAGGCAGGGGGGCCTTCACGACGTGACATATTTAAGACTCCTATGTTCTCACCGCGGCCATCTTGTTTTATTACGTCGGAACCGAGGGAATCCACGCGGAAAAACAAAGTGCTAGATTCAAATAAATAATTACTGCAATATTCCCCAGCGGGTTTCCGCTTGGATCGAGTAAATATTTCGTGCGAATAATTTCGGAAAGTATTTCACTTGAGCCGAGTAAGAATTTGCCAAGGAATATCGGAGTAATTATTTACTTGATTCTAATAAGAATGTATAAGATCCACGAAAGGACATTTGCGATCGATTCAGCACACTCGTAAGATACTCCGAACAGTTTCGTTTTAGTCGAACGACTAATAACTAGTCGTACAATTAACAAAAGTGACAAAATCGTGAGAAGAGATAGCTTCAGAAGGAAGGTTGGATGTCGCGTTAATTTTACGGTCATTGATCGATTATCGGAGCAAACGGAGGAATTTTCGGAGTACCTTATAAGTGCGCTGTATCGATCGCAAGTATCATTTCTTGTGGGTCGTCTTTTTATTTGAACGGCAAGAATTCTGGGCACGCGTTCTCTCGCTTCCGACGCCGTCAAGCAAGACGACCGAGGCGAAAGGATCAGGAGCTTAAATGCAGGGAAAACATTCGCGATAATTATGTAATCGCACGATCGATCGAAGAGTTATTAGCGGACTGGCGTCTCTCGAAATAGCCGGCGGTCGATGTACCTCTCTCTCTCTCTCTCTTTGCCGAGATAAACACGCCTTATCGGGAAATTAATAATACGTACTAATTAACGGTGCGCCTTCAACGTCGTTCTCTCTCCCGAGTCGGCTTCCGACGTGACGTATTCCGCGACGGCGGCGAGGAGTCAGTTCTCGTAAGTGAATACGCGTATCGGGCGCGATCCTTTCGAGATACCTCGGCAACCTGCTATTATGTCAGTAATTCGCGCGTCTGCCGAGCGCGCAATAAAGCATTTTGCGTGCAGGGAAACAATGCGCGCGCGCCCGTCGCCCGGGGTATCAAAAGGGCACGTAAGGAGGGGAGAGGGTCGCGCGGAAACTGAAATCGCGCGCCGTCGACTCGCGTTCATTCCGACACGCGCGGTGGGATGGGCTCGCGGAAGCGTGGCGTGTAAACGCCGGCAATTGAATATCGGAAATAGCGGCGTGTCGGGACGTCAGAAGGCGAGCCGGCTCGAGCGGGCGCGCGTTGCCTCCTCGAGGATGGGCCGCGCGCGATTCGCGGTCGGGACGTGTCGGATGTTACACGCGCTCGAAACGAAGGGCGTTCATGGCGCCACGAAAATCCTCCCCCCGAGGCGAGGGGGATTCTTCCCCCTCCTCGACGGCGGGCGGACTCGTCAAGATCCGAACTCTCGACGACCCGTTTCCCCGCCGATCCCTCGGCTCGTCTGCCGCGGCACAATGCGAACTTGCAATTAATCAAATTTTCTAATTTAGAGACGCGTCTCTCTCGCGGCCGCCGGAGGCTTAACGCGAGCGCGCGTTCACGCAGCCACTAATTATCGCGTGTAATTAAGAATCGCGTTGCAACGCGGCTGCTAAAGTTTATTTGTTCCGTTTTATAATTATCTCCGTCGCTCCCCCTCTCATCCTCCTCCCTCCAGATCCCGTCACCGTGAAACGCGCGCGCGAGGGGTAACGCTCGCGGGAGCGGGACAAATTGAGCCGGTGAACCGAATAGGAAATAAATTGGATTAACGCGGACGCGCCGAAGTTAAGCCACCGGTCGCGGTACCGGCCAGGTGAGAAAGTCCCGACGTGAAAACGTTACCCGATACCATCTGGAAATAGCGACGCGGAGTGTGAAGCACCTCTGAAAACGGGATTACCGTATCGGCCGCGCGTGTGTGTGTGTGTGTTTTGTATCGAACGTAATCGATATATTAGTGGATCCTTCGGTATTAACCGCGACCGTTCTCTCTCTCTCTCTCACTCGTTTAATACCTATTAAATATCAGCTTTACATACGGCGGACGCGCGCGACACAACGGCTGCGCGAACCGAATTGCCAAACGAGAGCGCCCCGGCAAGGTACTCGAATTCTCGCGACGCGCGGATTATGTTGCGGATAAACGGGGCCAATGATCGATTACGCGGAAAGCATAATAAACCGCGGGGCCGTGTGTTTACCGAGAGGCGCTTTTAACTGGAGCGCGCACGAGCATTATAATATCGAGCGATCTCCACGCGTAATCCAAGGTAAGCTCTCCGGGTGAGCTACCGGCGCGCACTCTCGGCCGCCGGAGAAGCTAATCGGGCAACCGAGTCCTCGAAAGCGGGCCGCGTTCATCGCGTTCCCCGTGCAAAATCGGCGCGCCCATCCCAGAAGACAAGCTTGTTTCAATTAAAGGAATTCGATGAAATCCAAAGGAATCTTCTTCCCCGTGTGCCCGGAAAATATCGCGATAGATGAAAAAAATCAAGTATCAATGCGAAACTTAGATTTTCGAATGGATGCGATTATTGTCTCATATATAAGCGAAAATATATTATCTTTTTACGAAGGTTTAATATTCTTGAATTTCAACAACATTACAATGTTACTGCGATATTGCAATAGTCCACTACAGACCACGATGTTGTGATTATCGTGAAAATAATATTTTACTGGGACGTTTTATTACATTATATGAAAAAGATAACACGAATGTGTTATTTTGAGTAATTTTATATTCGCATCGAATGTACGTTAATCTTCTTTCAAGGATATGAATGTTTTTTTTTTCCACTTTATAATATAAGTCAGGTCTTATGCTCAAGACCGTTCTGGTTTTATCCTCAGACACTTTGTAGCTAATGGAACAACTTGCATAGTATCTGAAGATAAACTTAAGATGATCTTAAATATAAGACCTGACTATTTACAAGAGTCGGGAAGAAAATCCGTGAGCCAGAGTTGCTAGACTGGAACTCGAACCCGGGGCCTTTTGCTTGCGTCTACTCTTACCACTGAGTTACTCAGGTTCCTACTCCGATATCTTATATGACGTTATTGCTTCAATTGTTATTACAAGAACTTCGAATAGTTCAATTTCGTTCTTTCCTTCCATTATCCAATCCAATATCTTTTACTCTCAAATTTAAGAAAATTCTTTCTGAATAATGAGAATATTATATTTTTTGTGGAATTATATATAATTTCCTCGGAATAAGGAAGTTTAATCTCTTCAATGCTATATAATCTTCAACAATTCAACATGTTAACAATACGAATTTTTTTCAAGACAAGGATGTCCCTTCTATAGAATTTATCGTTTAATTTATCGTGTCTTCGGATGACAGCTCCGTCTGCGGCGAAGGAAGCATTGGGAAGTCGAGAGGTGTAGCTCGAAGTTAAATTTAACGCCGTGTAATTGGGGAAAATTTGAAACCAAACCGAAGAGACTTCGTCCCGGTGACGCGACGAACTGTCGGGACCGAATCGCGACAACTCACGCTGCAACATTTTCCCTCGAAGAGTCGCGACGACGACGGCGGCGGTTTTATTGAATATTTCGTCGCGTGACGTGTATTTTGGTAATTTCGCCGCGAAGCTTGAGAAATGGTGTTCACGGTGTTTCGCGCGGTGACTGTTTCAATTGTCGACGAAGTTTGTGCGCGCGCGCGCGCGCGCGCTCACGCATGCGAGCGAGCGAGCGCAGGAGAGAGCGGCACATTTCCGACGAACATTTTCCTATGACAAATGATAGCGTGGAATTTAACGGGTTAATTTGTAGCGTCTCTAAGTTTGGCATCGGCGGCCGCGGGCGGGGATGCGGGCTTGACGCGCCCTCGGAAAATTATGATGTCTGCTACGAAATACGGAAGAGGAATAATCGGAGCGTATCGTCCTCGAAAATATACGCGCGCACACTTCGAATATACCGCCAGGTGTGTGCGTGTGTGTGTGTGTGTATATACGTCCTCTTCGCCGAGGAAACGCCGAGCGACCGTGATTACTCCGTGCCGCAGCTAGAGTCGGCTCTTTTCGCGCGAGATCTCCTCGGTGTGTCGAGATTCGGCACGTCCGCCGACCGGAAATACGTACTATCTGCGTCCGAAAGTGTGCGAGATATATCTCGAGAGAAGGCTGCTCCGAGTTTCTCCTAATAACCGAAAGAACGAACACCGATACCTTTCGTCGCGATGATTACCACCGCGACCGTGATCGCCTTTATTGCGATGATTTACGACAGCCGGAGCGGGAATCCTCCGGGTGACCGTCGCGCTGGTAGCGCGCGACCTTTCGGGCGAAGCGAGCGCCCGGTAAATTGAGGAGTCGTGTTGCGAGGCCCCATTTTCCCGGGCAAGTACCGCCCTTTAATGCACGATGGCCGAAGGAAACGCCCGATATCGAGGTGGACGTCGTCGTAGTCGCGCTCTTGTAAAATCCCCGTGGCCCTTTCTTTCAGGGCGCATTAAGCGTCTTGAAGTGTGTACAGCCGACTTTAAACGGCGGATCAAACGTTCTTTGTAACGGGGGTGTAAATGGCGTTGCGACAACGATTGCTACAAAAGCGGGAGACGAAGGAAATACGAATTCGCGGAAAGGAGGCGCGATTCTTTCTCTCTTTCTCCCCCCCCCCCCCCCCCCCCNCTCCCCCCCCCCCTCCACCCCTTTCTTTTTCAGCGTCAGCGAAATATATTTCTTCAATATACTCCGACGCGATAATAATTATCTCGCTCGACGAGCGTTATGCCATTGTCCACGACGAGTGTCACGACGACGACGAGTCGGCTTCTCTTTTCACACAGCGAGAGGCGATAAAGTAACTCCGGGAGAATACGGTAAAAAAAAAAATTCAGGTGGAAATGATTCCGCTCATTGTTCCGAGTCGACGACGCGATATACAAAGTGTTTGCAAAAGTTCGTAAAATCGCAAATAGATAGCTGTAGCAGCGACTTAGTAATTATTTTCCTTTAAGTTGCTTTTCAGTTTTTAAACGTTCCCCATACGGGATCAGAATTGATGATTGACAATTCACAGTTACGAGCAAAACGTTACATTTAACGCAACTGAAGATGGGAGCAGATAAAGTTCGTCCTCTCTGTATCAAAACTGTATGTTTTGCCACTTCAATCGTGGTGAGACTGCTGCAACAATTAAAAGACTGATTTGTGAGACCTATGGAGAGAATGTTGTGTTTGCTACTGTCCGTACGAAGTGGCTTAAAATATGTTATCTCGTTGTTATTAATAAATAATAATGTCTTTAATATCGTACGAATTTTTACAAACGCCTGATACTTCGCAAAATCCTCCGTTCTCTCGTATAAGACGCGACCGCTCGGTTGCGTCGCGCGATCCTGGCGTTAAATGCGCGGAAGGAGCGCCGAGTAAGCCGGCGGTGGCTCTTGTACCGAATCCGGAATAACCGGGATTAATTCGATTTTAACGTGCCAATTAAGAGGCGCGCGGGCGGGCGGGATAATAGGAAAAACGCGAGGCAGCCAACCGACAACAAGGATTGCGTATTTAACTATCCTAACTATGTGAAACTGACTGGCGGAATTCGCTCTCGCACATTGTTTCCCCCCGTTGAGCATGAATTTTCACGGACCGTGCATAATAGAATCCTATCAAGATTCTAATGCGATGATCGATGAATTATAACTCGCCGGCGAGCGCAATGCGTCTGACATTCTTCGGTAATCGCTCCGTAAAATCGCGATCCGGCTGGATCGCTTTCGCGCGGGCGAGATCGTTCGGCGAGAGAGAAAAATCCGACTTTAATTGCAACTTTCAGCGCGCGCCACCGAGTCGTTTGTGCGAAAAGAAAAAAAAAAAAGAAAAGAAGAAATGATTTTCTTCGCGCGAGAACGGCAAATTTCTTCACGGTCTTCGTTTCGCAGTCGAGCAGTGAATTATATCGGACGAGACACGAACCTATCACCGTCAGGTGGATCCTGGAGTTTCTGGTGGGGCTCTTGGTGAAGTCCACTCGGCACCTGTACTCGCCCTCGTCCTTCTCCTGCACGTGGGTAATGCTCAAAGTTGCCGGCTCCGTCGCCGTGCGGAAGAACGCCCGGTCGTTCAGGTACTCTTTGTCCTTCCAGTGCGACGCCTTCTCCGAATGCTTGCCGCGCATGTCGTAACTGTAACGAAAATTTTCACACTTTTGCATTCCCCCGTCTTTTCGTCTCCTTGGGAATCGTCACATTCGACGTCGGAGTTATCGCACCGCGAGTTACACAGTAAAAAGTTTCGTGTTAAATTTAACATATTTCATTTTAACATTTACACATGCTTTGAATATTCACTCGAACAAAACATTGAGACAACCAACGCGATATATTAAATTAACACACACCGGTGTGTTAAAGATGTAACACAAAAATTTTAACAAGGACCGATTTCAACACAGATACAAAATGTCTTTTTTTTTTTATTGCGTAACAAATCTTTCACGCACATTCTTCCTCCCGCGTCGCGGGAGGATAAAAAAGCGCGGAGATTTGTACGAGTTCGATCGAGTGCTAAGCTAAGGAAATATCGGATTCTCGAAGTCGCGAGAGTGGAAAGCGCGGGCGCTCCCGCGAAAATGCGTTTCCGTATATAAACGAGAATCGTTTCGCGAGGAACACTCGCACGAGCACGACTGCGCCATATGTCGCTTGATATTTTCGCTACTCCGCTGCCGGGAGTAGCGCTCGGCGATGAAAAAATAAAGCGGAACAAACGCAAAACTTCAGAACTGCAATGCACCGGGAGGCGACGCGGGACGAGAATTTTGTCGACTCTCCCTCTCGCCCCCCCCCCCTCAACCCCTCCCTCTTTCTGTGCTCTTTAGTGTGTTGAACGCTTCGCGCATATTTAATGCGGGCGAGGAAGTTAGATAATAAAGGACGCGCGTATGTGACATAGTAGAGCATATAATTTCACTAATTCATTTCATACGATACGCGCGGTCGGCTGCCGTGGGAGTGAGATTCGCAATTTAAAGCTCTCCATTCGAGCTTTTACGCGCGTCGGCGTACTTAAAACTGCTGCCGCCTGTGTGAGATGCGCATTCAAGTGGATAGAAAACTATCCGCGAGAGAAGATGCTTTTGCACGGCGCGACGAGCCGGCGACGAACAGGCTCTCCTCCGACGATTATCCCAGTCTCATCCCTCGCACCCCCTCCGCCTCCTCCTTTCCCCCACACTGCGCTCGATCGGCAGAAATATCGCTCGCGATGACGGTCCCCGTGGAAACGGGGGAAACTCATCGTCATCTCGCGTCGACTGTGTGTGTGTCGCGCTAAAAACTCCCGTTGCCGAGGTGTTAATTAAGAATGCATCGGCCAGCCGGTCGCGCTCCACACTCCGACGCGTTCTCGGTTTTAGCCGAGAGGAAGCTGCAGAGCGGCAACGCCAGCGCGGTAGCCGGACAGTGCTTCACCGCAGATCCTCGCCCCCCCCCCCCCC